CCTTGTAATTTATAGACAATGCATGCCCCCTTCAGAGCTGATCAGATGAGCTACATCTTGGTGACTTGGTGACTCCACATCACTGGCCAGTCAGGGCAGGGGCTGGGGATAATGCCTGGGGAAGGAAAATTCTAAAACATTGCTTGGTTTGAACCCAGCACCCGAAGTAATTGAGGACAAACAGGCAGCATAGGAACCGGAAGCTTTACTCACAGATCCCTCACTCTCAGCTGACAAGCTGGTGGGTGAGTTCCAGCACAGAGCACTGCAGGCAGAAGGTGGGGTGAGGAGAGAGAGAGGGACATAGGGCATCCTGGTTACTAGGGCAGCTGCAGCACAGGGAAAACTAGCAGAGCTGTGTGGAGCAGGACTTCACCTTAAGCCAGCCCTCCTGCCCTGAAGAACAGGAGGGGAATCTGATGTGTGGGGCAGCATTGAGTGCTGGACCTCAGGATGCTACAAAGTGACAACCATAACGTAATGCCATCACAGGGTAATCCTGCAATCAGGAAAAGCTAAGCTTAAAACTCAACTTTTACCCCAGGAAGAGCAGAACCCTGAGCGCAAGAAGCACAGCATTCCCCACCAGCTGTACCATGGGCTCCAGGCTCCTCTGGTGGGTGATGTTTTGTCTTTTGGGAGCAGATGAGTCCTGGGAAGAAGGAGGTAACTTCTCCTCTAAGATTGCTGAGTCCAGAATCCTCCACTTTACCTTGCAGATAAACCATCAAGCTCTCTCCTGTGCTCATTTTCTTTCTGCATTTCCTACAGGCCCAGTGCAGGCTGGAGTCACCCAAATGCCAAGATACTTGATCAAAACAACAGGACAGACAGTGACCCTGAGATGTTCCCTATCTCGGAGCACTGCAGTGTATCTTGGTATCAACAGGCCCTGAGTGAGGGCCCCCAGCTCCTCTTTGAATTTTATGAAAGTACGCAAAGAGCAAAAGGAGGCATCCCAGACTGATTCTCAGGGCAGCAGTTCCATGACTATAGCTCTGAGCTGAACGTGAGAGTCTTGGAGCTGACGGATTCAGCCCTGTATCTCTGTGCCAGCAGCATGGCACCATCCCTTCCTTCCTCTCCACAAACCCTCACGTGCTCACCTCTCCTCATGGCTCCCAGAATCATGAATAAAGGAGTTTCCCTGCTCTTCTCTCATCAAGGGGAATAAATGCATTTGGGATCCTCTGTTCTTCTGAAAGGAGGAGGTCAGGAAAAAACCTTCCAAATACTGGGGCAGATGACGTTGGGTAGCGATAATTTCAGCTTATGGAATTTTTGGATTCCTTTATAGAGTTCAAGATTCTACACTTGTGATTGGCTATCAGAGCCTAATCTCAGGTATACAGCTTAATATTCTCTTGTAAAACTATAAAGTTGCAGCACATTTATAATCAACTCCTATTACTGAGTGTCGCTAACTCAGACCACACTATGTCCAGCTGTGGACTAGCCAATACAGAACTCCATAAGGCCACACGCAGCTACCAGCCTTCAAAATAAATAAATGAGAATCCTTAGTAAGAACTGCCCGTGAAATCAGTTATCCAAGCAATTATCACCCACAATAGTGCACGTTTAATATGTCCATATATTGCTTTTTTATTTCCCTTGGCAATCCTGTAGTCATTCTGTGTTTAATTTCATTCTTCTATAGTCCATTTCTTAATAGAAATGTAAATTTAGTGAAGTTTAATAAAATATAATCTCACTTGAGAAGGTGTTAACAGGAAACGATTCAAAGAAAACCTGAATAACAGTTATATTGACCATTTAGAATTCTTTGAGGTTTCCAAAGCAGGTGTACAAATTTATACTCTCATCAGAGGTAAATGGGTGTTTCACTTGGCATGCACACACACAAATACACATGCACACACACTTGTGGATTACTTCTTTGCTCTCTTAATGATTTTTTTTATAAACAGAAATTCTTAGTGTAAAATCCTTACATTCCATTTAATATTTTAGCATCTAATTAAGGATATTTTTTCCCACTTCAGAATAATGAGATTTTCTTATGTTTCCTTCTAAAGTATTTATATTTTATAACTTTCACATTTAGATCTGTGAAACAAATAGAATTAATTCTTTGTATATGAAATGACGAAGGGACCAAGTTATATGTTTCCTTGCGGTTATCCGACTGACCTAATACTACTTGTTGAAGGATAATGCTTTCCTTACCACTCTATAATATCACTCTTGTCATACATCAGTCGTCGTATATGTGTGGGTGTGTTTTCTTGTGTCTCTATTCTGTTAGATTATATGTTTTGTTAGTTCTTTCACTAATAACACACTGTTTTATTTATTATAGCATTAAAATAGTTCCTTGTGTGTGTGTGTATATTATTGATTTATTTTTTATTATTTTTATTTTTTGAGGCAGATTAGCCCTAAGCTGACATCTGCTGCCAATCCTCCTCTTTTTCCTGAAGAAGACTGGCACTGAGCTAACATCTCTGCCCATCTTCCTCTACCTTATATGTGGGACGCCTACCACAGCATGGCTTACCAAGCAGTGCCATGTCCTCGACCGGGATCTGAACCAGGGAACCCTGGGCCACTGAAGTGGAATGTGCAAACTTAAACACTGTGCCACCAGACCGGCCCCAGACGTGATCCTATTTCTGATTGTGCTGCCCTTTATCGGTACTGACAGACCCTGGGGCGTGGACAAGAGTTTTTGATACTTTTCCTGAACAAGAATGTCCCAGACACATCAGGGATGCCTAATGACCAGTTCTCTGCTGAGAGGCCTGAGGATCCTCCTCCACTCTGAAGATCCAGCCTGCAGAGCCGGGGGCCTTGGTCTCCTGTCTCTGTGCCAGCAGCTCAGCCACAGCCTGTCACTGTTCAAAAACTTCAAACTTCTCTCTCCTTGCAGCTCCTCAAGACCATAAATAGACCATTCTTTGCTCTTCATTTCCCAAGAAGAAGAGGTAGACTTGGACGTCAGCTGTCCTTTGGGTAGAAAGAGACCATAGATTCATTCCTGAAATACCGTGGCTGTGAATGTTGGTGGATTGGAATTATTATGGCTCATTGGGTTCTAGGAGTCCCAGAGGCAGCTCACCCCTCCAAGGCAAGGGCTGGATGTCCTGGATGCGAACAGTCTTCTGTAGGACTTTAAGGTCACTGCCCACATATATGGCTTTGGCTCTGTGCAGTGACAGCATCTCTTCTGCTTTTGCTGTCGCCATCTGGAAAGTTTACCTCCTCAGGCATACTCTTTCTTTTGAAGCCTCTTCTATGCCTGTCTCACTGTAAGTTTTCTGCAAACAGCTGGAATAAAGACCTTTACTACTTGGTGGTGGTTCATTGTTCAACACAACACTAATAACAACGAGCTTCAATTCCTCTGCTCCTTTAAGCAACCCATTTCCTCTAATTTTTTTTTTCATTTTCCCACTCTCCAGTCCTGAGACTTAGACTAAAGCATACTTTCACAATGTCTCCAATTTCCTCTGATTCCCTGAGTAATCTGATTTCTAGCAACTGAGTCTTTCATTTGGTGCCCTAGTCTTGATATGAAATCATTTCCCTGAGATTTTTTAATTCAAGAAGAGTTACTTTCTTATAATAATGCCCCTGTTTCTTTTTACTTGTTTTATTTGCTATAGTACATATTACTTGTTATGATAATTATATTGTGATAACATCTTGCACCTGTCTGTGGGTGAAGCTTCAGTTTGTATCTGTGAAATCTACAGCCATGGGCAAGAGCTGATATACTCTGAGCAGGGCTCCGGGAGTCCTAGAGATAAGCTGATGCCCCAGGACTGGTAATGAATGTCACAGACTCAGGCATGATAGAGGTGTGCTGAGCCTTGCTGGTTGGTAAAGAGAATGACAGTCTCCCCAAATCCCCTTCTCAGAGATTGTGGTGGCTCAGGACTCCAGATTTATTTATTCCCCAGAGAATGAGCATCCTGAGAGAATTTTCCTGGCCTTATTTATTTGCACTTCAGCAAAACACTCCTTGCTCTGTTGCTCTGGTCTCCTGGGACTAAGAAGGCGGGCACCAGGAAAATTCCAGGTCCTTGAATGCCTTCCAGGGACTTCCTTCCTAGACCTTTCTCCAATTTGGCCACCTTTCTCCACATGCCCTGGAAATTTCAACTTCCTTATAATACTATTTTGCACCAGTGTTTCCTTACATCCCTCAATCTTCTACTTCCAGAATTATCTCCTCCTCCCTGGTGACAAGCAGCAGATGTACATTGTACACATTGTTCATTTGTATAGAATGTAGTTAGCTATATTAATTTCATCCATCCTGATTTTCCCCATTAGATACTGTTTCTCCATGATTCCTTATTGCCTTGTAAGACGTTCTATATTTTCGTATATTTCAATTTTACTTTTTATTGTACACATTTGACCCATCTTGAAGACAATCTCGTTATCTTCCTAGTCTTTGCGCATCTATATTTTGGAGGTAAGCAGAGAGTGTCATTGGGTGGGGGCGGGAATTTTGTTTATCTTTAATAATACAATAAAAGAAACTCTTTACACTACACCTCCTGTGTCTTTCTTCTTATTTTAGACTAAATATTATTTTCTTCCATTCCTCCCATTCTACCCCTCTCCCTTTCATAAGATAGTTTTAAGGGAGCAGATCTCAAATGGACTATACTGCCAGATAATGTGATGGTAGTTAAGTATAATGAGGGTGGGATTTTAAGGATACAATCTAAAAAGAATAGAATCAGAGTTAGAATTACTGTTGGGATTAGAGTTTAAGGAAGTTGAGCATAAAACATGCAGGATACATATTCTCCCTGCTGACCATGCAGACACTTGCCAGCATCCCTTGGGCCATTGCAGAAGAAAACAATGATGAAACTTCAGTTATTGGACACAAGATGGCACTGTGATGCCGCTGACGTCTGAGTGAATCTGGGGAGAGACTGGGAGAGCTGCCTGGGAGGAAAGGGTTGAGAAAAACTTAGGACTGGGTCCCATATTAGGCAGATGTTGAAGAAGTTCTGTTATTGCCAGGCTCCCTTCAGCTGTGGAAGAAGTGGGAGGTCCTTGTAGACTTTAGCGAGATCCACAGTTGAAGAAATTGGGCAAGGCAGCCTTGATGTCAGGGGCAGGTGCACAGAAGAGCAACTGTCTCAGAGGAAAGTGGGAAAGCAAGGGGGTGGGGTGCACCCTAAACTCAGTGTAGGGAAGCCACACCCCATCTCCCCTGCAGGCCTTACTAAGCAACACCTATGAATAGAGTAGCTGAGCCAAGGCAGAAGGGACTCTGTTCCAGGGAGAGTCTGCATGGGTAAGGGGTAGTGACATCCCAGGCAGACTCTTCTGTCCTTTGGAGAAGAAGCTCCAAGCTACCTCATTCAGTGCTGTGGATCACAGCTTACAGCTGGGTTGGCTCCCTTTTACCTGACCCTGTCATGAGCCTCAACTTCTTTTGTGTGACTCTTTGTCTCCTGGGAGCAGGTGAGTTCTGGACTCAGAGGAAACCTCGCCATGGGTTTGCAGATGCTTAGCTCAAGCCTTTCCCTTTCCTTTGTGGATCCAGGTTACTCCTCAAGCCTTGTCTTTGCCTTGTGTCTGCCTCTCCAGTAAGCCCCATGGATGCTGGAATCACCCAGAAGCCAAGATACCATATTACACAAACAGGAGGCAAGACGATCCTGGAATGTTCTCAGAATATGAGCCATTTTGCAATGTTCTGGTATCGACAAGACCCGGGCCAGGGGCCAAGGCTGATCCATTATTCAAGTGGTGTTAACAGCACTGCCAAAGGGGACATCACAGAAGGGTACAGTGTCTCCCGAAAGAAGATTGAGGATTTCCCCCTGACCCTGGAGTCAGCCAGCACCAAGCAGACCTCCTTGTACCTCTGTGCCAGCAGTAAATACACACTGCTACACAGCCAGCTGCTCTCTGCACAAAAAGGGCAGCCACCAGCATGAGGGACACACCTTCCTGGGGCCCCTGTCTCATCAGAGGAAAACTTGCCCCTATGAATCTCTCACCAGACTTCTCAGCAAGGGGATTTCAGCCTGAGGGGCCTTGTGCAACATGAACCCTAGTGTGAACTGAGGTCCGTCGTTGTGTGTGTGTGTGTGTGAAAGAGTGCAAATAGCCCTCCATGCAATTTCACTCAATTTGGAATTTCCTGGCAATTTAGTAAAGTTGAGGAACAGTAGTGTCCAAGATGAAGTTTATGTTTCATTCTCTTTTCGGTGGAGAAGAACAAAGCAGAAAGCAGCTGAGCAGCTTTAAGCTCCCTGATGATCTGGATTCCCCAAGTCTAAAACTGTTACATAAAGTTGCCTTGGGCTTCAAAACCATTGAATACCAAGCAATGATTCTCTGGAGGGAAAAAATCTGAATAACAAGTTATAAACATACAAGGAAACAAACCACTTAGGGGAAATGTCAGCAGATGCATCAAATAGCAGCATTAGACCCAAAGATGATCAAGTGCAGAATTACCGAAAGAGACCACAAATTAAGTCTCTCCCGTGGGCACAGAGCAGAGTTTGAGTCTTCTGAGGCTTTGGAGGGCAGGTTAAGGAAGCAAGCTAAGTCTTAGCATTCCCCTGGCTTGGATTAAGATTCCTGAGCTCCTCACTTCTTTTCTTGTGAAATATTACAAAGTGATATGGGAAATAAGTTTACTTTCGCCCAGCTTGATCTCTCCTTGCCTCCTCACAGGCAGAAGTCTGCACCCAGAAGGATTGTTTCTTAACTGGAGATCCATTAACTCTGAGACTGGGACATCCATAGTTTGGCTTCACAGGATATGCAATCCCCATGTGTTGCTGCTGCCCCATGAGCCCCTGCTGTGCCCTGTGCACCCTGGGAGCCTGCCCAGGAAGTGCTGGCTCACCCAGGACCTGCTCACAAAACTTTTTGCATGGCAAAACTCACTTCACTAATTGGCCAATCGACTGAAAGCTTAATTAAAGACTGAATGGTGAAACCAGTGAATGACTGATTTGCCAAATTACGGAGTGCACAGCAGTTCAGGACTCATGGAAGGATTTCAACAGCCTTTGAAGATTTTTTTTTTTAAGTTTTTGGTTGGCTACACCTTTCCCTTGGCCATTGATCCTCAGCAGTTTCTCAGCAAATTTGTTGATCCAGCTTATTCTGATGGCAAATTTCAGTGTTGTATATTTCATTCACGGAGAACTTCTCACGGTCTCAGTATGCTATGAATTTTACTGCTCCTGTCTTCTCTTATTTGTGTGTGATTCATTTCTAAATTGGACATTATAGAATAGAAGCACAAAATTGTATATGACTCCCATCTTTTATGTAGTTTGTTTACATATGTTTTGGTAATACTTGATGACCGTATATTAACAGTGAGTAAAATGCTCATATTAATGTGGGTGTAGCTTGGTAAAATTTGAGAAATGCATACATCATTGCAACCATGACTGAAATCAAGATAAAGAACATTTCCATCACCCAAGACAATGTCCCCATGCTCCTTCCCAATCAACATATTTCCCAGACCTAATAACTTTTCTGATTTTTATCAGGTTAGCATTGTCCAGTCTTGAAGTTATTGTAAATGGAACCATGTAGTAAACACTCTTTTTTGACTGACTCCTTTTTCACAAAAGTTAATATTTGGGGAAAGTACTAATGCTGTGTGTATCAGTGGTCTATTCTTCCTATAGCTGAGCAGTATTCCACTATTTGTCACAATGTGTTTCTCCATTCTCCTATAGATGGAAAACTGGGTTGCTCCAGTTTTCAAGTATTATGAATAAAGTTGTTCTGAATGTTCTTGTACAGGTCTTTGTGTATAAATGTATTCATTTCCGTTGGATATAGACATAATCTTGGAATCACTGATTCATAGGGTAAGATGCATGCTTGCCTTTATTAGAAACAGTTGAACAGTTTTCCTAAGTGGCTGCACCAATTTACAACACCAAGGAATGGGAGTTGCCCCGGCTCCACATTCTCACCAACATTTGGTATCTCTGTCTTTTTATTGTTAGCCATTCTGTTGTGTGTGGGGTGGTATCTTATTTGCAATTCACTGACAAGTAATGATATTTACTTTTTTCATATGCTTTTTGGTCATTCTTATCTTCATATCTTCTTTTGTGAAGTGTCTATGATGAAAGTTGTCCATGTTTAAAAATTAGATTGCACTTATCTTATTGATTTGTCGGAGATAGTTTTATATCCTAGATTCTGTTAAATATACTGAGATTGTCTTCTCCCAGAGTGGCTTGCCTTGTCACTTCTTCACATTGCCTTGTGGCGAATTGAAGTTTTAAATATATATCAAGTCTAATTTATCATTTTTTATGCATATTTGATGTCCTTGCATCCTGTCTAATGCAGGTTTCCCTACCCTAAAGCTATGAGTCTTTCCTCTTTCTTGCCCCACTGCTCCACTGCAGTAACATCACTCCTTGTTCTTTGTCATCAGCCGAAAATGCTCCCCGTTCAAATCACAAATGGATCATCCCACCACCTACCCACAGCTTCTCATCCCACCACACTTGTTCTTTGACATCATTGGGATCTCCTATCTCTTGGTAACTATTCTTTCTTCCTGTTCCTTGTGGTCAGTCCGTTTTTTCATTACTTTATGCTAGAGTAGATTTGATGATGTTACATTCTTTTAATTCTGTCGTGAAAATAGTCTTCCTTTATTTACCATGATTTTCTGAGGTTGCCCCTACATTAGACAAATCCAGACCAGGGTGTATACATTGATCTCTTTTATTCACAGCAGCAGCTGAGTGCTGGCAGAATAGGTCACCCACCTGTACTAAGTGGTATTGTGACAAATCAAGAGACACTAACCTTACCTGAATTTACATTCTTACTTTGAGATTCAGCTATGGTTCTCTTGTTAGCTCACTTTCTTCACAAATATTATTTTGATTATTTAAAATTGCCCACTCTCATTAGAAATTGGCTTCTTCCTTTCTTGCATCTCAAATCAAAGGTGATCCCTGAAGTCGAGGGTGGTGCCCAGTGAGGGACACAAGCTGGAGGATCAGAGGGAGAATCCTAAAGAGGGGTGCACATGGAGCACTGCGGGGTCCACTGCATATATGAAGAAATCCCCCTGCTGTAGACTTCCCGAGGTAGGAGTGGGTGAGGACAGGTAGTCATTCTTCCCTGGAGCCTCTTCAGACCCTACGTGCCCGAGTTACACTGTTTATTTTCACATTGCTTATTTCTCTACCCTTCTGCTGACTATCTCAGCAATGTTAATCGCAGAATATTAGGACTTCTATTACTGTTTATTGAAGAATGTAAGAACTTTTGTTACTTTCTTTTTAAGGGAGAATAAATTCTCCAATCCTCATCCTTGCTTTGTCTATTAGCCAGGGTCCTAGCAGAGTTGAGGAGGGACAACGAAGGGACTGTTTACAAAGGTGGGGCAGGGCTATGGGAAACCAGTCAGGGAAGGAGAAGCATCCTTCTAGCAGAAGTGGGTGGCTCTTATCCCCATTGGCCTGAAAGAAGGAGGACAGGTGTGGTTGCCTGGGGAGTTGGGCTCTGTGGCTTAGGGACAGGGCTGCCTGCCAGGTGCCAGGGCTTGCCAGGGAAAATCAGCTACTATGAAATGTATCCAGCAATAAGGGAGCCAAGGGACTGTTATCGCAGATGAGGACGCTTGGTGACCCTGCCTCCTTTGCTCTCCTGCCATTATCTCCCATAAGCAAAACTTAACTGTGAGGTAGAGGAGAAAGGAGCCCGGTTAATGTAATCCATAAGGGGTTCATCTACAGGGATGAACGTAAACTGTGCAAAACACTACTCCGAGGATGCATTTGAGGGCAGTAAATCTTAACTTGCAAAGGTCTTTGCTATAACCCAATAAAGTCAGAGCATGGTATCTGGGGAATCTTTACTCCTCATAATTTATAGACAATGCATGCCCCCTTCAGAGCTGATCAGGTGAGCTACATCTTGGTGACTTGGTGACTCCACATCACTGGCCAGTCAGGGCAGGGGCTGGGGATAATGCCTGAGGAAGGAAAATTCTAAAACATAGCTTGGTTTGAACCCAGCACCAGAAGTAATTGAGGACAAACAGGCAGCATAGGAACCGGAAGCTTTACTCACAGATCCCTCACTCTCAGCTGACGCGCTGGTGGGTGAGTTCCAGCACAGAGCACTGCAGGCAGAAGGTGGGGTGAGGAGAGAGAGAGGGATATAGGGCATCCTGGTTACTAGGGCAGCTGCAGCACAGGGAAAACTAGCAGAGCTGTGTGGAGCAGGACTTCACCTTAAGCCAGCCCTCCTGCCCTGAAGAACAGGAGGGGAATCTGATGTGTGGGGCAGCATTGAGTGCTGGACCTCAGGATGCTACAGAGTGACAACCATAACGTAATACGATCACAGGATAATGCTGCAATCAGGAAAATTTAAGCTGAAAACTCAACTTTTACCCCAGGAAGAGCAGAACTCTGAGTGCAAGAGGCACAGCATTCCCCACCAGCTGTACCATGGGCTCCAGGCTCCTCTGGTGGGTGATGTTTTGTCTTTTGGGAGCAGGTGAGTCCTGGGAACAAGGAGGTCACTTCTCCTCTAAGATTGCTGAGTCCAGAATCCTCCACTTTACCTTGCAGATAAACCATCAAGCTCTCTCCTGTGCTCATTTTCTTTCTGCATTTCCCACAGGCCCAGTGCAGGCTGGAGTCACCCAAATGCCAAGATACTTGATCAAAACAACAGGACAGACGGTGACCCTGAGATGTTCCCTATCTCGGAGCACTGCAGTGTATCTTGGTATCAACAGGCCCTGAGTGAGGGCCCCCAGCTCCTCTTTGAGTTTTATGAAAGTACGCAAAGAGCAAAAGGAGACATCCCAGATTGATTCTCAGGGCAGCAGTTCCATGACTATAGCTCTGAGCTGAACGTGAGAGTCTTGGAGCTGACGGATTCAGCCCTGTATCTCTGTGCCAGCAGCGTGGCG